AGGATTATATGCATATATATTATATATGATTATATTAGGGTGATTATGGTATATGAATCTATAAAAAATTTGCAATTTACTCTTCTAACCAGAAGGCAAGCTCTCTTCTGCCTTCTGGAGTTCGATCGGCTTGAATAGTTATCAACCGCTCATTTATTATTTTCTTATTTATTTTTACAAATCTTAAGCAACAAGTTGATCGTATGATACGTGGATATTTGCAATACATGTTGTACAAGCCCATAAGAAAACTTGCATGGGTTCGATAATATTCTCTGAGCCCATGATCTTTAAGAGATTTCAGCATATCATCGACATTGTGAGATAGATTCTTCATCTGCGTTAAGTTTTTTCCTATACATATATAATACTTCAACATATTGCGCCAACATTGTTTTATTTTTGCTTCGAGAACCGCTATCGTATTGATACCCTCGTCTACATCAGAGATTGAAATATCGTCTATTTCAATCTCTGATGTAAAAGCAACTTCACCAATTACAGAGGCTCTAAATTGTTCCCAAATCGCATCTTCCCGTCTTGTCTTTTCAGCCAACCTTTCTTGCATTTCTCTTTCAACCTGCTCCGCACCCACACTCGCACCACCCTGAACTGCCTCAATACCCTCTTCCTCCTGTTGATCTTCTTCATCCTCAATTCTTTGCTCACGCCCTGAAGTTGATTGCGTATTTTTATCAAGTTCTCTCTCACCAGCCTCGCTTTCCCTTTCTTCCATGACCTCATCTTCCCTCTCATCTTCTTCTTCCCCATATCCTGAAAAACTAGAAAACATAGATCCAAATAGCTTGTTATATTTTATTATTTGAATTTCCCTATTATTTTCCGGAATAAGATTGATCAAGTTTGCGAAGAAATCTTCAAGTTCACGTTTTTTGCTTTCGGAAATTTGTGTTGTGCTCTCCATCTCTACCACAAATGAAATGAAAGATGAAAAAAGAAGACACAAATGTAGTGATAATTTATAAGATGAGCGCTTTAGTAGTAATAAGCTTTAACGTTTTTATGCTGTTATAACTAAATGAAATATCTTGAATGTATGATTTCAACGCTGATGATATACGATTCTGAACCTCACTAGAAAACCATAAAGAATATTGTGATGAAAAATACTTGTGTGATGATGCGGAAAACAAAGAGCTTTACTTTATGAAGCTAATGGTTAAAGAAAAAGACAATTAATTAACCAATGAGAAAAGAGACTAGTTGAAACAAGTAGAAAATCGAAAAGGAAACTGAATTCAATAGAATTTATGGAAAACATATTAATACGAAGCAAGGATGAATGAAGGTTATCGAAGAAAAGGAATGAAACAGAAAACAACAAACCATGCCGCATCATTTTCAGGAATTAACTAACTATTGTAAAGATGAACATCAATTGCTTTACCAATTTTTTTATTTCACCTTCACAATTTTTAATCGATTTGAATTGTAAGTTTGAAAGTCCATGTCCCCGTTTTTTATTACATTTTTAGATCCGTTGTGATCACATAGCATAATTACAAGCACTTTCGGACTCTATTTAATTCTAGCCTAATAACATAATTATCCTAGTCAATTTAATGAACTTCCTTGTTCGAAATAGCGAAAGTTTGATAAATTTATTGTAACAATTGACATTTTGTTTAAATGGATTAAATTTATGATACCTTTTTTTGCATTTATCAATAACATTTACATTGGTACTTATGTTTATTTAGATTAAGGCCGTATTCACCAACCGTAATCAATTTTTTAAACCAGCTGATCACAGCTTTTGCGTTTCACAAGCTATGAATAAGTCTTGATCTCGGATCATATTTAAGTTTAGATCAATTTAATGCGAGGATTAAAAAATATTGTTTCACCAATCGACATCAATTGATCTTAGCTCAAATTGTTGTTTCACCAACCGAAATCACCTTCAATTGATCTCGGAAGTCTTGATCAAAATTTTGATTATGACTTTTCTTCCTCTTTTTTCCATTCTTACTCATTTTTTTGAATTTTTTTACATAAATTGATTAAAATCGTTATGTCATATTATTTTTCTACAATTTTCGCTAGCGTAAAAAAGTGTTTTCTTTTTAAAAAAATATTAAACAAAGATATTTAGAGAACTTGATCAGTGTAATCATATAACTTGTTAATTGTTTGGAAATCAATCTTAGTTTCAAGTCTTTCCATAAGTTAATTAATTTATCTACTTCAAATTTACCAACAGTTAAATGATTCCATCCAATTGCTTGTTCAGTTGATTGGAAATAACAATAACTTATTTGATTTTTTAATGATTTCACTTTTTATTCAGTAAATAATAATTATTTAAAATTAAGTGATTAACGTTTCCTGGTTAAGTGCAGGCATTGAATTTAGTTTTCATAATGGTGAAAATTTTTATAAATACAACGGAGATAGCGAGAAAGTTATCAGTTAAGTTCTTCGATTCGATCGAACATCTTCAAATACAATTGTTCAATATTGAATTTTTCATCTTTTTTTACTTGAACACTTTCTAATAGAATTATTCGATTTCTGAGTTTATTACTTCTTCGATATTCGTTCATCGTTTCTGATACAGTGTACTACAGTTTCAATTTTAATTAGTTCAGTATTTAAACATTGTGGTTGTTGATGATAATAGTTGTAATTGATAGAACGTGTAGGCAAAAAACAACGTGAACAATATTTAAATTTAGTTAATGTAGAGTTTGATATTAGATCAGGCAATACATGTTATTCTCTTTTTGTTTGAGAAAACAAATAATTGATATTAAATAATTGAATAAATTTAACTTTAAAACAAGAAGATATAAGATAAAAATAGAACATGAAAAAATGATAGTTAAGATATACGAGGAGAAAGGGGAGTTCACCCCAACTGATCATATTTTAGGTTTACATTGGGGGTTTCATGTTCATGTTCATATTCATGTCACTTTCATTTCAACTTCATCTTCATCTCTATTTTTATCTCGTCTCTTTCAAGGAGACGAGGTGTTTATCTTTTCTTTTCGAACAGTACTAATTGTGTTTTTACATTCAACATCTATCGGTTGTTTTTAATTAGTTGAACTGAATTTTTACAAAGGTAAGTCGATATTCTCTTATGTGTCATTCGTCAGTGCATTGGAAACATTTGCTATCGATCATTTTTCTTGATTTTACCACTCGATCTTTTCAGAAAGAAAAATCGATTCTCTTGAACTGTCAATGTATTCGAATACAAATTCGAAATCGATTTTCTTTTGAACAAAAAGACGATCAGCAATTAAATTTAGAATCAGTGCCAGTTTCTGTGGATCCATAACGAACTAGGTAATTTTCAGTGTGAGGATTTACTTTCAACAATCTATGAACAGTTTCAACGGTGGTTGGAGCTGAACCGGTGATCACGGCTACAATTAAAAATAGAAAATGGTGATTAGTTTAATTGTTCGACGGTAATTTGAGATCAATTCAAACTTTTAAGTGAAGGCATAGTGATGTTGTTTTTCTCTAGATAATTGATTAAATCAATCGTCATCGCTGGAACAATCATTGCATGGGAACAGTTATTTTCATTAATTGTCTCAACCAAACTCTTAACATTGTAACGATAACCAGAAAGAGTGATTGTGATTCCATTCGGGCCATCATTGTGATCCCATAGACAAGACCGAAGATGGAAAAGAGGAACTGGAAGCGGCAACAGTTCCTGGTTCATCAAGACCAAGTCTTCGAGCAGTTAATTGTGCATTGTTGATTAGATTACAATGTGATAATAAGGCCTTTAGGTTTACCGGTTGTTCCTGTGATTAGAAACATTGAAATGAAAAGTTGGTAATTGTATTCGGATTGATCTGTATTACCGAAGTGAACATGATGATCGCTGGATCATCACTATTGACTCTCAATGAAGTTGTAGTTGATCCATCACTCGATGATAACAATTGATTTAAAGGGAATTTGTCAAAATTCAATGAAGTTAAATTGTCTCCATCAATTTGAACCAATTTCTCAAGAGTTGGATTAGTTTTCCTATGCAATTTACTCGCTATGTTGACGAAATCATTGACCACCGTTTGTTGGGAAGACTGACCAGGTACGAATAAAACTTTGGCTTCAGACTTGGTAAGAGCATATTCCAGTTCAGGTAGTCTGTAAACTGGATTAAGGGTGCACAGAATTAACCCATAGCGAGCACAAGCCAATTGAATTAATATCCATTCATAACAATTTGATGACCACAAAGAGACAACATCACCTTTAGTCAAACCAAGGACAGAATCAAATGAATAAACCAGTTGATTAACTTCTTTATTTAGATCACCAAATGATTTAACTATTTTCTGATGGCCACTAATTATCGCAGGTTGGGAATTACCTTTAAAAAGAGAAACCAAATCAAGTAAATTAATCTTATCATTAAGGTAAAGGAAAAGTAAACCTTAGGCTCTAATCAGCTGATCGCCAAAACCTTCACCGAGACCTTTAATTACTCAAGTTGATCAGAACTTAATTGTAGAGCATCACCAATGGAATAAAATTCTAGATTAGCTGGAGAAACACCATAAGCATATGAGTATGGGTGAAGAATGAAAGTTCTGGTTGAGAGAGAAAAGAAACAAATGAGTAGAAATGAGTTTGTAGACTTACGACGATTTTGATGAATTGAATCTTCGCTGGTTTGGTGATTTTGATGAATTGGTATGACTAGAGGTCAATGGAATTGAATTAAATCTTGAATAGGAAGTAAATCGTAAATTATTGCAAGAAATTAAATGTTTTGATGACGAGAAACGGTTTAAAATCATCATGACCTTTTCGCTGTAAAAATTGAGACAATCAATTGGAGAGAGGAAAAGATGAACAAAACAAAGTCTTTGATTGCCGAGAATTAAAATTAAATGGTTGAATTGGTTGTCTTTTCTGTCGGTTCATTATTTGTTTACTTTTGATATGGCCAACTCGTGGAACATGTTATGGTCAAAAGATTTCGTATGCTTTGGATATTCGTTGATTGGTCATTCGCTTATTTTCCTATGTAGTGTCTCTTCGAATAACATAGTTGATATTGGTCCAGAAGGTTAATTGAGTTCTGTACCAAGAGAGGTCAGCAGTGTACAGAAAATTCGACTACCAAACAAAAAGTAAAAATGAGTTGACTCAATGATTGTGATAGTTTAGTTTTTATGATAAAAGTTATTTTACTCATTCCCAGTAAATGATCAAACCAAATAAGTTTATAGTTCTATCAACAAATTGAGTTAATTTAAATTGAAGAAAATGTGAAACTTTCAGTGTTTAATGAAATGAATTAGAAACAAGTAATTAGGTGACACAATTAGACATCACAAAAATTTGATTATTTCTCATTTTAAACATCGATAATAAACATAATCAAAATTCTGTTAATTTGGAACGCAACTTCATCTATTTATTTTATAAATTGATTGTGTTTGGTTGAACACTTTATGTATCAATAATTATTATTATTTGCTCATTAATTTGATTCATTAGAGTTGTTAATTAACGCGAATTGAGTGAATCATCACCATCATCATATTCACTTAATAATCAATATTTTGTGTTTTTATCAAGATATCATCATTATCATAATAATCACCATCTTAGTCTCTATCAAAATAATTTAATTCAATTCAACTGTTTCAACAAAAATGAGAAGGAAATTAATGTTTCTTAATTGTGATTCAGTTGCTACTCAAACAATTTGGATATCTAAATCATCACCGGTGACATGTCTTCAATTACTATCATTTTTACTGATACTTAATTGTAGTTACAATTTGTCTGTAAATTCACAAAGTTTAGAAATTGATTATTCAGGTATTTATGATTTGGTTAATTATCATTATTGATGATCCAATCTATTAAATTTCACTTTCTCTCTTTCTCAATTTTTAGGTCACACAGAAGTGGAAGGTATCGCTGGTCGATCAGTCTCTTTACCATGTAACATAACGATAACCAACGGGAATATTAAAGAAGTGGCCATTATTTTATGGTACAAAGGAGAGACTGGAATTCCTGTTTATACAGTTGACACTCGGAATAAAAGTTCATTAAGTGGTTCAATTCATATTCCATCGAGTTCTTATAAGAGTCGATCTTATTTTGAAATGTCCAAAAGTCCACCGACTCTACGATTAGATAAAGTTAGTGAAAAAGACTCGGGTGAATATCGATGTAGAGTCGATTATGAAAAATATCCAACACAAAACTTCCACATCAACCTAACAGTTATCGGTAAGTTCAATTAGTTTCTTCAATTTACTCAATTCAGGAATGTAACTAGAACTTTTAGCTTTCCAATTCAATCATAATGAACTTTTTTGCATAAAATAAACACCACTACAACTTAAAGCAATCATAAAAATAATCACTTTCACTGAAGAAAATTACTCATTCTCTGAGTTTCATGAGATTCATGCTACTAGAAAGATACACGAAATTTTTCATCATCTACAAAACCTCAACATTTGCATATACATTGAATTTTCATCCTTCTTACTTTTCAGATTATCATTTACAGGAAAAGTTAGAGGAAAAATCGACTCAACTTTTTAGAAGTTTCTAAATCTACTATCAGTTTGTTCACCTTGATAGATTTTTGATCAACAGCATTACTGATTTTAATAAATGTTCAAAAACGCCCATGATAATTCATAAAATCAAATCTCAATCTTATAGAATGATAGTGTCATATTCAATAATAACATTTTCCTTGGCTAAATTATCAGAGAAAAAATTTCCTCATCATAATCATAACAGTCACCTTCATCATCATCAACAGCAACATGATTATCATCAAAATCCATCAAAATGAATTCTGTCTATCAGAAGCATTGAAACTCATAAGATACCCTGAGAGTTAGTGAGTAGAAGAGTAAAATTTCATCTTCCCTCTTCATCTGATTATAAATTCATTTAACCTTCACAATCTCAGCATAAGACTGATAACATCACTTCCGAAAAGTTATCAAAGTAAAATGCAAAATTTTGTTTCAACAGAAATAATAATGATGATAACATACTGAAACCTACAGAACAGGGAAAGTAGTTGACGGTGGGAAAATTCATAATTCATTCTGGAAATTGTGTAATAATACCAAGAGCATTCATGATGATAGATTTCAATTGTTTGAACAAACTGAAACTCAAAGAAATGGAAACAAAAAAAACGCTCATTGTCAATTAGTTATGTAAAAATGGATTCAAATGAAATTCAAGCCTAAGCCCAAGAGATTATGATTGTCAACTCATATCAAGGGATCTTTTTTACACTTTATCTCTTCCCTTTTAATAATAATCATGGTGATGATTCTCATGATGAAATATATTAGATATGAAGATGATTTTGTTGAAGAAAAAAGTTGAGATTTCTACAAAATCTTAATAACTTATTCTTAAAAGCTTTTTATCATCATTACTATTATCAAATGTTATCTTATATAACTTTTTTCACTTCCCTGTTAAGATGAAATAAGTTGTTCAGCTGAGACATTATATTAGTTTTATCCTTTAGCATCTCGTCATCATCATGTTGTTGATTTAGAAGATGAAACAAATATTCATTTTCTATGTGAAAATTTTGTTATCATGTTTGTTACATTTCCCTATGAAAGCCATCAACATGAACGGATATCAAATACTATTCACATGATGAATATCATTCATGATAATAGATGATAACTTGAATAAACATCATATTATTTTGTGACACTATTTTATTAATATTACTAAACTATAACCGTTATTTTAAAATACTTTTTACTTATCTACTTACTCATATCAGTAGTTTTAACTGAAAGTCAATGTAACCGATAAGCTTGTGAAAGACATTCAGAAAAATGCTCAAAATGCTGACTCAGATTGACCAGAATCCAAGCAGAATGTCAGACAGAAGGAGATGAATAAAAGTACTATATCATATATGATAATCTTCAAGTTTTATCACCGACAGAATTTCAGCTTTACCTGAATATTTTTACCTTCTCCATCTATTATCATTTATCCGAATCTCTTTATCTTCATGTTTACATGATGATGAAGTTTTCTTATTGAATGATGAATCAAATGATTTTCTGGTCAAATTGAATGGAGTTGTTTCATCATTAATCTGTATTAGTTGACAGTTGATTCAACATAATAATAGAATTGAAATTGATAAAAAAAATAGTACATTATATATTATCATTTACCTTGTCTCTTCAGGTCTAAATTGTTATTGTTGTGATTTTTTCTCATTTGAGGATTTTACTCAGTCAACTCAAGTTCTGTTTCGATTCAGCGGAACATTAAACCTCTCTTTATTATTAAATACGAAATGACTCAAACATGTCCATCGAAGACCAGAAATCTGATTTTTGATCGGTCAAACTAATGAACTAACTAAAGTAATCAGATTGAACTCCGAGGCAAGTATTAATAAAAAAGAGTTTAGTTTCTACAAAATTAATGTCTAGTGTTTGGAATTAATTAATATTTTGATCTCGATGAAAAAAAAACATCGTAACGAAGTAAGATTTGATCTGATTGACTTAGGATTTAGGTCAACTTATTGAATGTCCAGACAGTTATGGTAATTATCTGCTTGACCATTGAGCGTAACATAAAGGGTTAAACATAATGATAATGTAAATGAAAAAGTTGATTAATTAGCTTTAATTTTTTGCTCATTTATCCATTGTTTGAGTTATAAAGATAAATTATAATCTGGTCAAGATGATAATGTTCAATTATATAAATCAGTGAATTTGGTTGACCAGAGTTAATGAATATATCATGATGGTGTTGATTAATATTATTCATGATAAACATTAACAAACAAAAAATGATAATTCATAAATATCATAATCAAAGTGATAATAACAATGATCACAACAATAACAATAATCATTGTTATGATAAATTATGAACAAAAATTGAGATGATTAATAATGATTACATGATTTGAGTTGATTCATTTATCATCATGAAACATCATCATGAATAATGAGTTATAAATAGCTTACATTATGAATATATGAGCATAAAATGTATAACAATTTAACAAACAAATAGTGAAGATTCAGTGAGTCCGCATGTAATAATATACGATAACCATGATGAGCAAGAGAGAGAGAGAGAGAGAGAGATTGTGAAAGGGATGAAAAATTCCAGAACTGATTTCATCATAACCATGATAATAATCAAATTCAACTCATTTATTAAGTTCCAATTGATTTCAGTTTGATAAAGTACAGATATTCAGTTTCCCAATCTACTCATGTTCCATGAGAGTGAATCAATCAGTTAAATTCATGGTGAATAAAAAATAAACTTCGAGTCAATCTCATTGGAGGAGAAAGAAAAAAGTTTCCATGATAATGATGATGAAAAAAAAGTTCAGAATGATAATAATGACAATTTATTATCAAATTTACATTTATGACATTTTAAGTATTCATTGATTTTCATTTGTGAACCATTGCAATCCTAAGATCTCACTGATAAAGTGCAAATACATATTAATGTATATAAATGTTATCACTTTGGTGTAAATTTTATCAACTTTTATTTGAAACTGTTATTTTTTTTTGTTCCAACAAAGTGAAAACTGTATATTAATGGCCAGTGTATATATTCAACTTACAGGGTGTTTATATTCCGTGTGATACTTTAACGATAAGATTAATAATATACATATTAGATGAATGGTTATGAGTTTCCAAAGTTTTCATGATACTTGCATGAGGAAAAGATTCTCGTACATTGAACTTTAATCATGATTCAGTGAGATGGTGATGATGGTGATAAATTGCATTTCAAGTATTAGATTTCATTGTTCAATATTGGAAACTTTTTTTCGCAATCTACATTTTTCTCACTCTCAGAACTTTTTTCTTCAGAACTTTTTTGCTTTTCATTCGGAATCAATATGGAAAAAAATTTGGAGAATTTTTTTTTCTATCTCAACCTTTACCTTCCATCACCATGTCTGATTATTCAGATGTCAGAGATAATCATGAATTGAACAATAATTTAATATCCATTGGCTTCCATTAGATTTCAATATTTATCTTGATTCCATTTATTTTGTCATCATGTGATTATTTGTAATTCAATGTGATAAAAATCATTAATTTCATGATGAATTTTGAACAGCATACAATAAAAAATTCTGAATCAATTATTGAACTTTTTCCCCTGTGATACCTGATTTTCATGATTGAAACTCAGAGTTTTATTCAGATTTTTTCCCTTGCATTTCTATGTCACTTTCTTGTTTTCGTTATCTAATCTGAATTTATGATAGAATGACAATTATTCTGATAAAAAGATGAACCATTTTTTTGCTGTTACTGTTTCCATCTTTCCATCATCATAATCCATTATCTTACTGTACACACTCAGTTTCCAACAAGATTGATAAGATAATATAAGATAGAAATGTTGTCCACCTTTTAGATTAACGATTATTCATGATGGTGATCAACATCATGTTCATCCTACATCTTCCGCATGATTCAACTGAATCAACAGATTACCGGTTAACCTGAATAACATACTCGTGAATCTCAACATGATGCAAATGAATGGAAACAGAATCAGTACCATGAATTCAATGTAATAGTTTTCAATTGAATAGAGAGAAAAGAGTTAAATTCTCTCTATGAATTATCTCATGAATTTTGTCTGTAAAGGTTTAAATGATATAAAAATAGATGACCAATTGAAAATTCTGATTCAAATTAAGTGCAAACACAAACTAATCATGAATACTGAGGTTAAATTATCTGATTTTTCATGAATAGTAGAAAAGTTCAACCTAATGAACACACAAGTGAAACAAAACGTTTCCATCTCATTGAGAGAAAATTCTGATTGGATTTTATTCTGAAACCTGAATTTTTATTCATTCATTTTTCTTTGCATTTACAATGTAGAAAAGTAAACATGATAAACAATTTGTTGTTCTTTTCGATTATTTATCCCCCATTCTTTTCTTTTTCAATCTAATACATGAGGAAAATTGCATGAGAAAACATTTGGAACACATTGTTTACATGAGAATCATATTTCATGGGCCAATGAATAGCAAAGGTAAGCATTATTTCAGTGGAAAGGATAACCAAAAGTTCATAGATTAACCTTGAGATTGAGCGTTCAGATTATTTGTATAACTTGAAACTTTTGCACTTTCACCATTTGGATTATAAAATTTCCATCATGCTCATGAAACATGAACTTTTATGGAAACAAAA